CAATGCTAGACCAAGTCTCCAGCAATTTGCCCCTCCCTAACCAGGCCCAGGCAATATCATCCTTGTTGAGCATCCCCACCAGTCTCCAGAGGATGCCGGTGTGTACACACACAATGCCCCACTCCCCAGAATGCTCTCTGAGTGTGTGAGATGCTTGGGAGGCCTGAGCTCAAGATCTCTGCCCTTTAAACCTTATGGGATAGAACCTGCCCCTGCTCCATCTGGGTGGAGATTCTGGCCCCTGCCTGGCACTGTGCACATTGAACACAGCCACATGACTGTCATGCGTGGCTGAATGGCAGGGATGGATCCTTTCTGAGAACTGCACTGCTAGACAGTCTGTAATCTTGTGAACACATCATAGTGTGTTAACACAAATGAGGACGGCTACTGCAGCACGCTGGCCACAGACTCTTACTGGTCCCTAGTCACATGTGCCAACCGTCATGGATCAAAACGCCATGAATGTGGTACACACCTGTCATTTGCATCCCCATCCCTCACCTCCATATGAGTGGCTCTCGGCATCTTCAGGAACATAGCCCAAAGTCCTTTTCTAGTGGATCTTGCTCCCTGCAATGTGTACCCTACAGGATGGAAACTGAGCTGTTATTATCACAAACTGCCACCCAGATCCTTCACCCACACTATAGTCAGGCATTTAAATCCTGGGTCATTTGATTGTGTGTGTGTGTGAGAATTTCCCCTCTCTAGAAGCATATTCTGCATTTCCTCACTCATTGATATAGAGTTTGTATGACTTATTTCTCAGGCCAAGAGAGGCAGAGGAAATCTCAGTGCACCTGTTCTGGGAACCTGCCAGCCAGACACTTTGTGTATTTGCACTTGCTCTGGTGATGCTCTGCCATAGTTTTCCTGGTCCAGGGGGAGGATGGGAGGGAGGTGGGGCACAGCAGCCCAGGTCACTCCATCTGTGTTCACTGAGTGATCTCAGACTACATCAAACTCAGAAGCTTCTGTACAGCAAAGGAAATAATCAACAAAGAAGCAACCAACAAAATGGGAGAAAATCGTTGCACACTATACAACAGATAGGGTACTAATACCCAGGATTTACAAAGAGCTTCAAAAACCCAAAGAGAGCAAAAGAAACTGTCATGTTAAGGAACTAGTGAAGGAAATGAGCAGGTATTTTTCAAAAGGACAAACTCAAGTGGCAAATAGACACATGAAAAGATGCTCAGGTTCCCTAGCCACTAGGGAAATGCAAATAAAAACCACATTGCCTCCAGCAGGAATGGCCTATATTCAGAAAGCTACTGGGGCTGGTGCAGTGGCTAAACTGGCTAATCCTTCACCCAGAGGCACTCCATATGGGTGCTGATTTGTGTATTGGCTGTTCCACTTTCCATTAAGCTCCCTGCTTACAGTCTGAGAAAGCAATGGAGGACAGCCCAAGGCCTTGGGACCCTGCACCCATGTGGGAGATGCAGAAGCAGCTCCTAGTTCCTGCCTTTGGAGAGGGTTGAGCTCCAGCCATTGTGGCCATTTGGGGAGTGAGCAGTGGTTGGGCAATCTCTCTGTCTCGCCTTCTCTCTGTAAATCTGCTTTTTCAATAAAAATGAATAAATCTTTAAAAAAAATAAATAGAAATCTACTAACACCTGCTGGTGTGGATGTGGAGAGAAAGCTACCCTATTCCACTGTTGGTGGGAGTGTAGACTAGTGTACCCACTGTAGAAGTCACTATGGAGAGTGCTTAATTTATCTGCCATGTGACTCCAAAGGAAGTAAAATCTTCATATGAGATATATGCAGGTTGTGACCTACAATCCTAAATTTATAGCTGTATAATCCATAAAAGTAAAGATGTGAAAACAACTCAGATGCCAATTAAAGGAAGAATGGATCAAGGACTGGTATATCTACTCCACGGAATGCTACACATCCATTAAAAAGAATGAAATTCTACCATTTGCAAGAAAATGGTCCCAAGTGGAGGTCATCATATTCAGTGAAATAAGCCAATCCCAAAAGGACAATAACAGCTATTCTTCTGAATAAAAGGCAGCCATCATGCAAAATACACAACAAACAGATATACAGGTGAACAGTATATATGTATATTCTCATAGATGAACTGCCTAATGGAGACTAGCATACTAGGACATGATGATACACTGCAGTATGCATCTGTGCTCCCAAATAAAAGGAGGACTCCCAGTGAGACAGTTAAATACACCTTGACAACATATGATGCTTGATTTTCTACCTTTGTCTACACCTACAATGTTATGATATGCTTAAATAGCAGAACAGTAAATTCATAATGGTTTCTAAGGGACTATACCATTGTAATTATACAAGGGGAGATGGTGGACAGAGAAAACAGGGATGGAGAAAGGGGAAACAATATCATGGAAAACAGTAGTAACAATAAAAAAAATTTCCCCCAAAAGGTATATTTTTGTATGCTAGTGAGGTTCTGTGGTTGGTGGTGACAGAGCATTACTGTGACAAAAGCTGCCTGATGTATTTACTAATGCCTAGCTCAGCAGTCAGCATCTAGCTTGTTATAATAGGGACCGGCGTTGCAGTGCACCTGTGACACCAGCACCCCATAGGAGTGTCAGTTTGAGTCTTGGCGGTTCCACTTTTCATCCATCTCCCTGATAATGTGCCAGAGAAACAAAAAGAGGATGGCTTGAGTACTTGGATCCCTACCACCCACATGGGAAACCCATATGGAGTTCCAGTTCCCTGGCATCAGCCTGGCCCCAGCCACTGCAGTCACTTGGGGAGCGAACCAGCAGATGGACATTCCCTTTATGTCTCTGGCTCTCCCTCTCTCTGTTAACTCTGCCTTTTAAATAAAATAGTTCTTTATAAATTATACTATCCATAATAAGAGACTGTTGTAATAAACTTACCTGATGGATAAATGGTAATTAAAAACAATATCTTATCCCATTTCATCTTCACAACCATCCTCCAAGATGAACAAGTATAATTAATGAAATATTTCAGGTAAAGCATCCCAGGTCCAGCAGGGGTGGGGAACATCTGGCCCAAGGAGCCTTATCATTTGGCCTGGCCCTGCCAGGGCCATTGCAGATAGTCTCAAAATCCAATACTCCTATAGCACCAGTTGCTTTGGAGGAGGAGGTGCCAGAGAGGTCTTCCATCCTCTATCCCACTCCCCAAATGGCTGTGACAGCAAGGGCTGGGTCAGGCCGAAGCCAGGAGCATCTTTCAGGTCTTCCACTTGGGTGCTGAAGTCCAAGTACCTGGGCCATCTTCCACTGCTTTTACAGATACATTAACAGGGGACTGGATCAGAAGTGCAGCAGCCAGGACTCGAACTAGTATCCATGCGGGATGTCAGCACTGCAGGAGATAACTTAACCTGCCATTATATTGCAGTGCAAGCCCCCAGCAGACCAATCTTTAAGCTGATAATTTTACAGAGTCCATGATTACTACACATATTATAAAAAAAAAAAAAAAAAGATTCACCACCTTTGGTTACATAGCATGGAAACAACAAGGCCTGTGCCTCCAAGACTGTGGCTTTTACCATACTTGTGACCACAGCCAGATCTTTTTTCTTTTGTAAGATGGTGTTGTGAGCAGCATCAACTGTTCATTAGTGTACTGAACACCCGACTTGAACAACAGGGCTTGTCCCCTTCCTTCCTGACACTTCCATCAGGCTACACGATCATGAAGGCACCAGGTTTATGGAAGGCCACTATGGCCACAGCTCAGCATCAGTGAGTCCTCATGGGTTACCATATTGGCCACCCACTCATGAGGCATCACTATGTGAGGATAGAGATCTAGACCTGCCTCTGTCTCTGGGTGTGTCTCCAATGTTAAAAATCCACCAAAAAAATTCTCACACTAGTATGTGAGAATAGTTCAATTCCTTTGCTGTCTCCTAAGCTTAACTCTTTCCAGCTCTGTTGCTAACACATTGCACCTCGCATATTCATTCAACAAATAACACATTGACATTTTTCATTCTGCCAAGCCCACTGACAGCCCAGTGTGGCTAAAGAACAATGGTCCGGGAGAGAGGGCCAAATGTCAGAAGTTAAAAGGACAGCCTGAAAAGCCACAGGGCCTGGGTTCTAATCCTAGCTCCTCCTCTTATTAGCTATGGGACTGAGTTACTCCCTCAACCTTGCTGGGCTTCAGTTTTATCCTCGGTGATACAGACACACGTAACAGCCTCAGGAAGCTGCGAGTATCACATGGGCTTCCTGGAGGGTTTTTTTATTTTTGCAATGAAACATCTCTGCTCCTGCAAAGACTTGTCTTACATCTCCCACACGGGTATGGCACAGTAAAAACATCCGACCAGCAGAGAATGGCTAGGTCCTAGCATACTTACAGCAGGGGAGGTATGAATGGGGAGGTGGAGGGGCACCCCTGCTCAGGGATAGGCCCAGGGCAGCAATCAGCAGCCCCCAATCTGGTTTTGCTTTGCAAAAGACTCTATGTATACTTATCAACAAGGCCCTTGTGTCCCTACCCCACCTCATTCTGAGCCTGGGTTTCAGACCCCCTAGCTGGAAAATGAAGTTGCATTTTGGATCCAAAAGAGTCACCCATAACAACATGCTTGGATCCTCAGCTTGGCGATCTTCAGCCTTAGCATCCCCAGGAGTCCAGCCACAGAGACTGGCAGACATCACCCAGTAGCAGCTTGGTGTCTCTGCAAAGCTCGATCCCTGATGCCTTCTCAATCCAGCCTATGGCCCCCAGCTTGCAGGTTGTTCCTCCCTGTTGTCTCCAATGCCCCTGCCCCGCCCCCCCACCTCCAGCCTTTCCCTCACTGTCCATTCCATCCTTGTACTTCCAGGTCCTACCTACTTCCCAGCCCTGCCCCCACTTACTAGCTCTGACCCACTTCCCATTCCCTGTACTCTACCTCTCTGATCTGTGATTCAGACCAAAGAGGAAGGCTGGGCTCCAGGACAGAGAGGGGTGCACATGGGGTGCAGGGGCACTGGGAGGAAGCTGGAAGTACTTACTGCAGGCCCCGTGAAGGGCACGTGGTCACAGTTCTCCTGCCAGGACTGGTTGAGGCTCTGGGCAAACTCTTGGAAGAAAGCATGGGACTGGTTGAAAATGGAGAACCCCAGGATGTTGACACGATCGTCCACAAGGCTGTCCATTCTCTGGAGGGAGAACTCCTGGAGAGGCCGAGCAGCCAGAAAGAGAGAACAGAGTTAGAAATGGATGCCGGGAGGGACGCACTGGCTGGGGCAGAGCCTCTAGTCCATTGCACACAAGGCTTCCGCTGGGCTCCATGGGTCACTTGGAGGGGGTTTCTGGGTACTTGATGTCTGAGGGCACTAAGAGCAAGAAGGAAGCAGAATGACCCATGAGCAGAGTCTTTACAAGATGTACCTGCACAAGATAGAAAGAAGCAATGGATGTATGTACCGATGATCACGCTGAGTTCATAGAAGCTAAGGCTTGAAGCACACACAGGCATTTTCCCAACAGAGAATATGGATGAACAGGACTGTTCCAACAAGAAATCAGCATGAACACAAAGGAATGGAGGTTAAAAGTTGTGCATCCTTTTCAGAGAGCTGCCCATGGGGCACTAGGATGATGCTTCAAAGTGGGAATCTACCATCAGGCCCACTCAGGGTTCCTGTTAATAAGTGATGAGGATGCCAGCCGCATCTGACTCTCAGGAGCTGAGGTCAGCAGTCTGCACTCCTGGCAAGTCTGTAAGTCTGATGTACACCAACGTTAGGTAACCATGGAGTGTGCACACAGGATCCACAAGGGTATGGGGGAGGAATAGTGAGACATGAGGCTGGAACAAATGGCAGAGCCAAGCCTATATGCCAGGCTAGGGGGGTTGTCAGCAGGGCACTGGCAGCAGAGAAGAGCCAAACTCAAGTTTGCTAAAGACTGTCAGACTGACCAGTACCTTCATGCTATCAATATTTTCTCATACAGTTACCTTACATTCTTTATCATGTGGCACATTCTGCCTTAGGCATGGCAGACCTGTATAAGAGAGATGCATCTGCTTGCCAGTGAGTAAGAAAGACAGACAGTGCAGATACAAATTCATTATCATTTTAGACAGCTATGGGCGGAGGAAACTGCTGCTTTACATGAGGCTGTCAGGGGAACTCTATCTGGGGAAGTGATGTTTAGAAGCTCAAGGGACTTTTGCCAGCAAGCCATGGTCTTCATTCAAACACTTTACCGGGGCCAAGCACTGGCTTGCAGGTATCAGTCTCATTTGAGCCAGCTGTGTATGCTGAGCTCAGAGCTGTGGGCCTGCATGGCTTCTCTTGGCCTTGTCCAGGGAAACCAGGCAAAAGGGTCTGGCTCATTTGCCTTCATGATCCCTGCTCTTGGAAAGATGCCTACCAATGTGAGGCAGGCCGTCTTCTCACATTGCAGCCAGTCATCTCACATTGGTTTCAAGTGAAGTGCTTTTGCGTGCACACACACACACACTTACTGGCCATGAGCTAACATAGGGAACATACTTGCAGAACTATTCCCTCAGCCATGCAGCCTGACACAACAGACGACAGGTGCCTGGGCTACTTCTTTGCCTGGTGAAAATCTTACTTTCCTTCAGTGGTCACTGTGTCTGAAGACTTAGTTCCTCCAGGCCCTGGATTCCTCATTCAAAGCTATAGCCATTGCCAAGGCCCTGGGCTACAGGCCCAAGTAGTTCATCTGCCAAAACCTCAGCCTCATCAGCTTCAGCTTGCAGACCCAAATCACAATGACTATTTTTTTTTTTTTTGAATCACCAACCCTTGACAATATGGAGTCAGATGAAGATTAAGTGTATTTTGGATCATGCCATATTCCCAGTAGGGGTTCACAGGCGTGCCAGTAAACCACTGATTTGTTCACTGATATTGTGTCCCCTCTCTATCGGCAACTGCCCCTGCACTATTGGCTATCAGCATGTAGGGACAGATGGCTAATGAGAAAAGATACATTGGGCCCAGGGTGAAGTGACCAGGCCACAGAGCCAGGCTCTTGTTTGGAAACCAGTCTCCCTGGCCATAGTTGATTGGGTTTCCTTTCTTTATCAATGCAGGGATACAGCTCCCAGCAACTTCGCACAGTCTGATGGAGAAGGACCATGTCAAGGAAGCCCTTAGGTCCCCAAACTCAGTGGCAGGGTGGCAGTCAGATTCCACAGGCCATATGATCTTCAGCAAGGTCTTTCACATTCTGGGCTTCAGATCCTCGTTCTGTAAACTGCGAACAACTGAGGTATTATTAATAACCTCACAGGCGGTATCAAGGAATAACGCGGAAGTAGGCCAAGGTTGTAAACCATAGCTGCAATTGAGAAGTGGTCAACAAGTGACACAGTTCCTGGAACACGATCATGAGGGTGAGGGTGTGGGCAGTGACTGACCCTCAGCTTCTTCAGTCCCACTTCTCTTGGAAACCCGAGCTCAGAAACGTTGCCTTCCAGTGCATACATAGAGCAGTGCTAAGAAGGAATGAGTTAATTACAAACACTTAGAGACACTTTATCCAGAAGTCAGTCAGTCTGTCTCCCTGTCTTTATTTCTTACCTTTTTATCCCTCAATTATATCTACTTTCAAAGACCCCTTCAGATGAAAAGATTCCAGGAGTCTCCTTGATAATCTATTCTATTTATAAGGATTCACAGGAGAGCTTGTAGACAGGCGTCAATGCATTCTTCTGCTGTGACTTTCTGTTCCCCACCAAGCTAGGACAATGCTGCAAGCATTTTCACCATTCGGAAGTTCATCCTCTGTCTAACCTTAGACTTTCTTGCTGCTGCTCTTGAAGGCCATTTTCAAAAAGAACATAGGAAACAGCTGGCCGCCATCAGTTTGCCTGTGATGAAAATGTTCCAATCCAGTATGTCTCATGGTGCATTCCTCAGGACATTAATTTTCTAGGAAATGTTAACAGAAATCTCTCAAAAACATGGCTCCACGTTCAAATAAGATTAGAAGATGTTTCACCGTATCTGCCTCTTGGAGAGTCATGCCAGACACCAGCTATTAGAGGCTGCACAAACTGCCACAGCAAAGCCACAGATTTCATTTTGCCCCAGACTTTCTATACATACTGATAACAATGGAACCACTTCCCCCAGAACCTATGAGGGCATCCCTGTCACATTTTATAGAATCTGATTTAGAAAATGCGACTCTGAAAACATTCAGAGACATGTCCTAAGCAGAGACATTATTTCTGAGAAAGACATTTTCTGAAATGAACACATTTCTGGACAGGAAGGGATTAAAGATCATCTGGCTTCTGCTGTTCTCTTGAGCTTGAGGAATGTCCAGGTGGCTCACTTGGGCTCCCTGTGTACCCCCAACGTTGTCCCCAGCCACACTGCCCAGCTGGCTCTGACCTTTAAAATGATAGAAAGGGCTGCAACTGATTCTGGGAATGGGAGAGATTTCCAAATGGGATTTTATTTTCCCCCAAAGATTTATTTATTTGAAAGGTTAAGTGACAAAGATAGAGATCTTTCATCCTCTGGTTCACTCCCCAAATGACCCAGCAGGGGTCAGAATCATGAGCCAGGAATTCCTCCCATGTAGGCAGGTAGCAGGAACTGAAGTACTTGAGCCATTATCTGCTGCTTCCAGGATGCACTAGCAGATAGCTAGCTAGATGGGAAGCAGAGTACGTGGGACTTGAACAAGCACTCCAATATGGAATGTAGACATCTCAAGCAACAGCTTAACATACTACATCGCAATATTGGTCAGACCTCTGAAGAAATCTTCATCCTTATAAATGTCCTAGGAAGAGACATTCTAGGAATCCCAGATCCCAACATCAATGTATTCCCACTGTGCCAACCTCAGGGGAACCAGATTGAAGACAGAGCAAATGGCTATTTTCAAGGCCACATGATGGAGCAGGAACCAAGAACACATCTTCCATTACTCTGAGGGCAAAAGGCTTTGTGACAGTCCCCAGTACTTCTTCAGATGTATGAACCCTCTTTCCAAAGGGCTGCGTGGTCCCAGATGCCTCTGGTTCATCTTTGAGGCCTGCTACTTCTACCCAACAGAGTAGCTGATATGTAGGAGCTATCTGGTCAGTGTTGGTTGAAGAACTGTAGACTTGTTTGTGTCCTGACTATTCCACTTTTACCCCAATTTCTTGCTTATGGCCTGGGAAGGCAGCAGAGGATGGCTCAAGTTCCTAAGTCCCTGTTCCTATGTAGAAGAAACTCCTGGTTGCCGGCTTCAGATCAACTCAGCTCCCTCTGGCCACCGTAGCCATTTGAGGAGTGAACCACGAGATGGAAAACCCTTCTTTCTATGTGTCTTTCCTTTTCTATTAAAAAAATCTGACTTTAAAATACAACTTAACATGTTTTATTTTTGAATCAAGTCCATCTCTTATCCAGGCCAGACAGGTAAGAAGGGGAGTGGGGCACCAGAGTACACAGCAGTATTCTATGGTATTCTTTCTCCCCAATAGCCTTTCTCCTTTGCCTCCCAACCCAGGAAGTGCGCTGCTATTCTCTCACTACCTAAGCTAGAAACATCAAAGGCAGCTTCAGCTCCCTTCTTGGTAACTCCAAACTCAGATGTCTGCTCACTCTAATCTCACTGATAAAGGAACCTTTCATTCTAGCTCTGTCTCATCACGGCTCCTTTGCAGTAGCTGCCTCAATAACTGAGACCATGCCTCTGGTCTTGGAGGTTATGGTCATGCTAATGGGCAGCTCTGAGCTGCCATTTACACTGATGATAATGGGAACAGTGCCCCCTGGCGTGATGCGCATGGCAGCAATATCATCAGGAAACAGTAACACATGTTAGGAAGTCCTAGCTTCAAACCCAGATTTGGTTATATACTGGCTGCTGGTGGTAGGCAGGTCTTAGGACTTTCAGCTTGCTCCCTCGTGAAATGTGACAAGCATCCACCCTGCAAAGCTAACCCATGGTAAATGCCCAGAACATAGTCAGCACTCATGACAGGTGAGTCCTCTTCTCTTCAAGAGCAAACCATTCTCCATGCTGCAGATATCGCTAAATAGCACATGCTTGCCCTCTCTTTCCTGTCCCCCAAGCTGAAGTTGGATCCTGCAGAAGAGGAAATAGACCTAAGGATTTCTTTCCTCTGAAACCACAACTAGTTATTCTTAGATGTTTGTCAAATGAGGAGAGGTTTACTAAGCAA